TAGATTCAATATGGCGGCCAAATTTTTTACCATATATGGAAACCGCATTCCATTGTGGGATAGTTTAATCCTCCAATTTCAGAGGATAACACAGGTAATTTTCAAACGCCTCGTGCCTACCTATAATCAAAAAGTGCAAGCACCAGAGTACATGTAAATTAAAGTTCAAACATTAAACTATCGATTGTATGTGGCGATTTGAGATTCTATGTCTAGAATTTTTACAATACGCTTTCAAAGTTGGCACTTCATGCACTCCATTTTTACTTAATATTTCTTGGCATTTTGTTATATTTTTATGCTTTTCCCTATCAAGACAAATAAAAAGGAACTTAAATAATATTACTTTCATATTTTCTCTTAATTTAAAAATGGAGAAAAAAAGAAACACAGAAGGAAACGTATTTTAAACACAAAATATACTCTGCCTTATAATTTAAGCAATGAATGAATATAAATTAAATATATAATAAATAAAAAATAATATTAAAAAAATAAATAAATTATTTGAAAAGCATATATAAATAAATAAAATATCTATAATTTAACATGTTTACTAAGAAATTAACATTATTATATACATGTACATATATATGTGTTTCAGGATTATTCATTAAATGAAATGCTAATAATACTTAAACTTAATTTTTCAAAAAAGTTATTTATCAATTTTTACACATAATTACAGTACCGGAAAATCAGCTTGGATATTAAAAAAAACGTCTCAGACAGGTACACATGTAAGGGTAATTGTTGTTAACTAAGCTTTAAAGTTTAATTAAAACTAAATAATTGATTGACAGCAATTACAAAATAAATGTAATATTAATTTGATATCTAGATTTATCCATCATCACATGGAATTTTACGTTTTCTTTGTTACGGTTCATAATCTGATAAATGCAAGAGTTGCTGTTATTTGTTTGGTTAAGAGTTAACTGCCCTTTGTTTTGAAAAGTCGGGTAGGTGGCGACACTTCTATCCTCTATTTTTAGAGGATAAAATCTATCCTCCAAAAACAGAGGCCGCCTAGACCTGTTCAATGACCAATCACATTTTAATGAAATTCATAGGTAATTTTATCATAATATCAAGCCACTGTGACAAGATTATTTTCAAGAAATTTAAAAATTAAAACAAAAAGTAAGTAAGGGGGATCTTTCCTGAAAAGTAGATTTTTTTGGTTTCTTGTAAGTAGGGAGTCTAGACATTATAAAATTCATTTTGTGAGGCTTTTGTAAAAATTATGAAATTTAATACGCAATTTCATTAAAAACTTAAAGACAAAATATTAACGTTCCTAGCAAATGGAAGCCCCAAAGCCATGTCATTCTTTCTTGTACATCTCTTTGACATGGTTTAAATTTATTCTAATATCAATCATTCATGTCATGGTCAAATCTACCAAAAATGATTGCATGAAATAGCTAGCTCCTGTTGAAAATTTAAGACAAAATAGTTATAAAAACAAACCATCCTAAAAGTAACATGAAATGTTTTTCTGTGAAAACAGCTGTTTGAAAATGCAGAGCAATTGAGAAAATGTAAAATTCATTGATCAAAAGGCCTGCACATGCAAAATTGAGTTTTGAGGCAAGTCAAAATTGACTGAATTATTTGATACTGGTTGATTTTTTTAAAAATAAGTCTTTAGAATACTCTGATGACTTGTCTACCATGAGAAATAACCTGTGATAATTTCAATCATTTGTACAAATTCTGTTAAATTGTTTTGTGTACATGGAACACTTTGCATTTCAGTCAAAGGACAGGGATGAACTTAATATCAGGGATAGACATTAACTTTCAGATTCACTTGCCCTTCGGGCAAGTTATCTCAAACTTTGACATGTCCGAATGCAAAACTTTGTTGCCCAGGATTAGGAAAGAACTTTTGAAAAGAAGAAATTTATTAATTACTGTAAATGTTATGATAAGAAAAAAATGTGACCAAATACACTACTGTCAATTTGGCAAGTTGAGCTACCTGAAAAAATTTTGATGCATGCTGCATCTGTACATAAATATATACCACTGCACTTGCGAATTTAACCTTTTAACACACTTTCATGCAGCAATAACCTTCCGTTTCCTTTTTATAAAATTCATTAAAAAAATTATTTTCGGTAGGATCCTTTTGTGATCTGTGACTTTCGGAGATAACTGTGAAGCAACGCTAAAGGAAGAGAGTTGCTACGAAACATACATCTTATCTTGATCAGGATACGTCGTGTTACACTCTACTTATATTCTGTGCGTGAATAAATAATCTAATTTCCTAATAAGAAGTTAACAAAATTTTGTTAGACGTAGAGTGTATTTACTATGAAAGAAAATAACGAACCCGATTTTTAAATGAACAGTATAACCCAGAAACGCTACCAAAGAATTCCGAATGCAAAAACATTGTCATCCAGGTGCGTGTGGATATCAAGTGTTCATTTTATTGTTATTTATAAATTAATGTAAACTAAATAAATATGAACATTTGTGTGAGAAAATTCACTTGCCCGATCGGACAAGTACGTCGACAATTTCACTTGCCCGAACTGAGAATTTACTTGTCCCGGGCAATCGGATAACCATTAATGTCGATCCCTGAATATCATAACTTTGCACTTGCACCAGGCCCATAGGAAGCAAATTCAGTTCCGGGGGGGGGGGGGGGGGGGGGCACAGCCATACAATTTCAGTTGACAGATGAGGGGGCACTACTAAAAATTTCCTGACGTCAAGCAAAAAAAAAAAGAAAAAAAAGGTCATCAGACGTTTTTATTGAGGGGGCACAAGCATATAGTATCTATGTTTCTTATAGTAATCTATACATCAGCAAAATTATTGGGCCCCCCCCCCCCGTTCCTACGGCCATGTGCACAACTATGTATATACTGAAAGGAAAAAGAAAAGGCAGGGTAACTTCTGGGGTTATTTAATATGATTTATTCGATAGTTTTTCTAATACATGTATTCTTTATAATAAAAGCATATTTACACATCTTTAATCAATAAGTTGACAGAATTTCAATAATATTTTCCTGATAAATCATTAGTTATGGAAGCCCATTTAACAGCTGTACCCCCCAAAAAGTGAAATTAAAAAACTCAAAACCTTGTATGTCCCCCTCGTGCATCTGTCACAGCCCTGATTCTCCTGTGCATGGAGTTCATTAGGCCATTTAACCTCCTTATGGAAATATTATCCCACTCTTCCCTTAAGGCAATCTTTAGGTGGTCGAGAGTAGCAGGAGAAATGTGACGTCCCCTTTCCCTCCTGTCCAGTTCATCCCACAGATATTCAATTGGGGACAAATGTGGACTATATGGAGGCCAGTCAAGTGGTCGAATGGTACTATTTGTAAGAAAGTCTTGACAAACTCTGGCTACATAAGGCCGGGCATTATCATGCTAGAAAATTAAGTTATGCTGTTGCATAAATGGGACAGCAACCGTGCAGAGGATTTCATCCCTATATCTAACACCAGTTAAATTCCTAGCTACAACAATCAAGGGTGACCTTAACCAGTGAGATATCCCACCCAGACCGTAACTGAGCCACCCCCAAACCTATCCCTTTCAAGAACGCAAGCATCGGCAAAGCGTTCCCCACGACGTTGGTATACATGGCATTGACTGTCCGCATGAAAAAGAGTGAGCCGGGACTTGACATCTGAGAAAAAGACCAGTCTCCACTACCTCATAGAAAATTGCCTGGGACCATGGGTGGCCACCCAGACCATACAACACGCTCGATGTATGGGAATAAGCATAATACCAACATAAGGTCGACAATCCTCCCAGTCTCAAACGATGGACAAGACGTTCTATGGTAAAAACATTTACCCCAAACTGCAGGGCAACCTGCTGTTGCATTGCAATGGCCTGACCCCTCTGAACTTCAGTCAATCGCACCTTGACAACCAAACAATAAAATTTACTGCAAATACAGAAAAACAATGTGTATATCTCTAGATTATCAATTGGTATGATAAAATGTGTTAAATTGACGAACCTGTTTTCTATATTCTGCACGGGATTTTCGCATTTTAATGTCTAAGCAGCGTGATGCTTTTCACGGTTGAATAATTTTTGATACCGATCTCAGTGCACAGTGACTAGAAGACCCCTTTGACCAGTTTTCATAATTTTTGGTCATGTAGTTAAATAATTATCTCATTTTATGCTACCCTGCGTTTCTTTTTCTTTTCAGTATATATTGAACATGTGGATTATTCAGGTTTGATCCCCAGGGTGGTGGTCAAGAAACCCTTGCCATTTGCAAAGCCCATGAACTACATGTACCTGAATGCAGTTGTACTAACATGTATATAGGTCCAAGATAATCTGATGATACTGAGACAATTCATCAATTGGTTTAAATAATGAAAATTAAATGACCTTGTTTTATTGCTTTTACAATCAAACACTTTGTATCATTGGGAGACTGACATAGATAGATATGTTATTTATGGGGATTTTTTTACCTGTCGTCTCAATGATCCTGGTGGAGATAAGTTCAGTGTAATCAGTTTCTTTGTCTTTGTCACTGTCTTTCACATGTGTCATTGTTTATGTAAATAGAAACCACATGGGACGGTGTGTACTTCCGGTGTCCCAAGGAAAAATAGTTTACCGCATATACATGAAATAGTCAGAAATACAGAAGATTGCAAGTGTCCTGTCTGTAAGACGATACTTTGCTCCATTTGATATACCTAAGTTAGTTAAGAATTAATTGTTTTCTTCTAGAGAATTCCCCATGAACAAAGCTAACACAATATTTGTTTTAAGGAATATCTTATTCGGATAAAAACGGACTTTGGTTTCCTAAAACATATTTTCTAGTCTACAGTGCTGCTCATGATAATAACTGGTGTATTTTTGAGAATTAATTATTTTTATAAGTTTTTTTTCAAATATATTTTTTCTCTAATTTAAAGTTATTGGTCATGATTTCATTCCGATTATTTCCGTAATTTATTATTTTTCTCTGGTTCGGATAAATCACTCCGCCTTCGTCCATTTCTTGGTAGAACCCGTCCATTGTTGCAGACCCTCTAGGAGCTATTGGTAATGTCAACACAAGCACATGTTCTGCTTCATTATTTTGTATACTTGTTTTCGTCATGTAAAAATCGAGCGAGAGAGTAGCGGTGCCTCATAAGATTAATCCATGATGGGAAATTTTACATTTGGGCGGGGTTTAAAAGTTGGTAGGGTTTTGCTTTTGGCACATGCTGGAATAAGGTCAAAATAAGTAAAAAGCAGACTTTGACTTATTACAGAGAGTTCCTGTGTTTTTGGCAACGGAAACAATAACAAAAAAAAAATAATGTCAGTAAGGAGGATTGACTCTAACCTGAGGGAGGCGACTGTAAAATTTTAAATTTTGTTTAAAACTTTGAATTTTGTTTAAAAATCAAATTTACAAAGTAAACAATGATTTACAGTTCATTTTCGGTATCTCAAACACTGATAGTTCGAATACGATGGATATGTCGAAATGATTTGGAAGTCCCAACTGCCTATTCTCCAAGTAATTTACCCATGATATCTTGAATCATCCGATATCTCGAAGATTAATTTTCTTGGTCCCATCGCTTTCACATGGTACCTCCTTGTTGTGTAAAAGTACCGTCTGTTTCTAATCTTTTTGAAAGCTCTGTTTAGATACATGTGAGGCAGTTAATTATTTAGGGTACTGTTTGTCTGTAGGTACGAAAGTAAAGATGATGGACTTAGGTAGCCATGGAAACAATGCCAACGTAACACTGGTCAAACTAAATCTGGAGGGATTTGATGATGAGGCATCAAAGGAGGGAATAGCTGTTGAGCCCTCGTAAGTTTAGATTACTTTTATTTAATGATTAACCTGTGTTATGTGCTTTTATTGTATCTTTGCTTACTACTTCTGTGCAAATCATTTTATACAAAAAGGTTTCAGTAACTAGATATAGACTGTTGGAATGTGATGTTGGCAATCATTCAATTCTACCTCAAGTGATAATAATTTAGTATTTTGTAATCTCTGGCAATATAAGTGGCTTTTTTGTAGGTTTACCTTTGGTTATAACAGTCTAGTTATTTTGTAGGTTAACCTCTGGTGATAACAGTCTGGTTATTTTGTAGGTTTACCTCTGGTTATAACAGTCTAGTTATTTTGTAGGTTAACCTCTGGTGATAACAGTCTGGTTATTTTGTAGGTTAACCTCTGGTGATAACAGTCTGGTTATTTTGTAGGTTTACCTCTGGTGATAACAGTCTGGTTATTTTGTTGGTTTACCTCTGGTGATAACAGTCTGATTATTTTGTACGTTAACCTCTGGTGATAACAATTTAGTTATTTTGTAGGTTAACCTCTGTTGATAACAGTTTGGTTATTTTGTAGGTTTACCTCTGGTGATAACTATTTAGTTATTTTGAATGTTAACCTCTGGTGATAACAGTCTGGTTATTTTGTAGGTTTTCCTCTGGTGATAACAATTTAGTTATTTTGAATGTTAACCTCTGGTGATAACAGTGTGGTTATTTTGTAGGTTAACCTCTTGTTATAACAGTCTAGTTATTTTGTAGGTTAACCTCTGATGATAACAGTATGGTTATTTTGTAGGTTAATCTCTTGTGATAACAGTCTGGTTATTTTGTAGGTTAACATCTGGTGATAACAGTATGGTTATTTTGTAGGTTAACCTCTGGTGATAACAGTCTGGTTATTTTGTAGGTTTACCTCTGGTGAAAACAGTCTGGTTATTTTGTAGGTTGACCTCTGGTTATAACAGTCTGGTTATTTTGTAGGTTTTCCTCTGGTTATAACAGTCTGGTTATTTTGTAGGTTAACCTCTCGAGATAACAGTCTTGTTATTTTGTAAGTTATCCTCTGGTGATAATAGTCTGGTTATTTTGTAGGTTATCCCCTGCTGATAACAGTCTAGTTATTTTGTTGGTTAACCTCTGGTTATAACAGTCTGGTTATTTTGTAGGTTAACCTCTGGTGATAACACTGGTTATTTTGTAAATTAACCTCTGGTGATAACAGTCTGTTTATTTTGTAGGTTAACCTCTGGTGATAACAGTCTGGTTATTTTGTTGGTTAACCTCTGGTGATAACAGTCTGGTTATTTAGTATGTTAACCTCTGGTGATAACAATTTAGTTATTTTGAAGGTTAATCTCTGGTGATAACAGTCTGGTTATTTTGTAGGTTTTCCTCTGGTGATAACAATTTAGTTATTTTGAATGTTAACCTCTGGTGATAACAGTGTGGTTATTTTGTAGGTTTACCTCTGGTGATTTCAGTCTGGTTATTTTGTAGGTTAACCTCTGGTGATAACAGTCTGTTTATTTTGTAGGTTTACTTCTGGTGATAACAGTCTGGTTATTTTGTAGGTTTACCTCTGGTTATAACAGTGTGGTTATTTTGTAGGTTTACTTCTGGTTATAACAGTGTGGTTATTTTGTAGGTTTACCTCTGCAGATAACAGTCTGGTTTTACCACCCACTATGTCAGATCTCCCCACAGGTAAATGTCACAGCTATTGCTTGAATGCCTATCATAAAGTCTAACCAAATTTTCACAAATCATGTGAAATAAAACTAATAAAAACTATTTCTTTTATGTATTTAAAAAAATAGAAAGTGAAAATGTTTATCTTGTTATTTGTTTCAGTGGGACTTCAACAGACCCCAGAAGTGGATGGTGCAACAACCACAGAGGTGAGTCAAGGTCATTTTGACATCACAGAGGTGAGTCAAGGTCATATTGACATCACAGAGGTGAATCAACCAGAATGAGTTACCATGTACATTGAAGGAGTACAGGTCAGGTTGTTGTAACAACTACTGAACTGAGTCACCATAGCTTCATTTTAGAATTTTATTGCTATAAATGGTCAAGTTGGGTTTGTATTGTAGTTGCACACTGTGAAGTCAAAAACCAATGAAAAAATCATGACATTCGTTTTTAGCTCACCTAATCTGAAAGCTCAAGTGAGCTTTTCTGATCACCTGTTGTCTGGTGTCCGTCCGTCCGTCTGTCTGTCTGTCTGTCTGTCTGTCCGTCTGTAAACTTTTCACATTTTCAACTTCTTCTCAAGAACCACTGGGCCAATTTTAACCAAAGTTGGTACAGAGCATCCTTGGGTGAAGGGGAGTTTAAATTGTTAAAATGAAGGGCCAACCCTTCTTATAAGGGGAGATAATCAAGAAAAGACAAAAATAGGGTGGGGTCATTAAAAAATCTTCTTCTCAAGAACCACAGGGCCAGAAAAGCTGAAACTTATATGAAAGCATCCTTGGGTAGTTAAGATTCTAAATTGTTCAAATCATGGCCCCAGGGGGTAGGGCGGGGCCACACTAGGGAATCAAATTTTTACATTGAAATATATAGGCAAAATCTTTGAAAATCTTCTTCTCAAGAACCACTGGGCCAGAAAAGCTAAAACTTACTCGGAAGCATCCTTGGGTAGTGTAGATTCTAAATTGTTCAAATCATGGCCCCCAGGGGTAGGGCGGGGCCACAATAGGGAATCCAAGTTTTACATTGAAATAGATAGGCAAAATCTTTGAAAATCTTCTTCTCAAGAACCACTGGGCAAGAAAAGCTGAAACTTATGTGGAAGCATCCTCTGGTAGTGTAGATTCTAAATTGTTCAAATCTTGGCCCCAGGGGGTAGGGCGGGGCCACAATAGGGAATCAAAGTTTTACATTGAAATAGATACTAGTAGGCAAAATCTTTGAAAATCTTCTTCTCAAGAACCACTGGGCCAGAAAAGCTGAAACTTGTGTGGAAGTATTATTGGGTAGTGAGGATTGTAAATTGTTCGAATATGGCCCCCAGGGGTAGGGCCGGGCCACAATAGGGAATCAAAGTTTTACATTGAAATAGATAGGCAAAATCTTTGAAAATCTTCTTCTCAAGAACCACTGGGCCAGAAAAGCTGAAACTTATGTGGAAGTATTATTGAGTAGTGAAGATTCTAAATTGTTCGAATCATGGCCCCCAGGGGTAGGGCGAGGCCACAGTAGGGAATCAAAGTTTTACATTGAAATAGATAGGCAAAATCTTTGAAAATCTTCTTCTCAAGAACCACTGGGCCAGAAAAGCTGAAACTTATGTGGAAGCATCCTTGGGTAGTGTAGTTTTTAAAGTGTTCGAATCATGGCCCCCGGGAGTAGGGCGGGGCCACAATAGGGAATCAAAGTTTTACATTGAAATAGATAGGCAAAATCTTTGAAAATCTTCTTCTCAAGAACCACTGGGCCAGAAAAGCTGAAACTTATGTGGAAGCATCCTTAGGTAGTGTAGTTTTTAAAGTGTCCAAATCATGGCCCCCGGGGGGATAGGGAAGGGCCGCAATAAGTATTAACAGGGGGTCTGGTGAAGAACAGCAGGGCCAAAGTAACTCAGGTGAGCGTTGTGGCCCATGGGCCTCTTGTTTTGTATTTTACTTGACTCTTTTGAGACATAAAAATATAATGAAGCTCTTTTATGTTTTTATATACATTATAGAGAACTTCAGATATGTTACAGTAACTTTCTTTAAATGTAGTAGCAAATGACAATTGACAGGGTCATAACATATGATTGCATGTATGCATATATAGTTTTGCATCATCTAGTTCATGACATTCATTTCTCGTTACCCTTTGATGCACTTCATTTTTTCATTATGCAGAAGAAGAAAGGGGGCTGGCCAAAAGGGAAGAAGAGGAAGAAGATGAGGGATTCTAACGCTCCGAAGCCAGCACTGAATGGCTACTTACACTTCTTAAATGAACGGCGAGAAATCTTACGACGAGAGAATCCCACCATGGCCTTCGCTGAAATGATTCGAGTTCTAGGGGCAGAGTGGACAAAGTTACCGCAGCATGAGAAACAGGTCAGTGTGTGTGAATGTATTTGTAGTCAGTTTGTGGTCATAATGTGTCCTTTGAAAAATAGGTCAAGGTCAGTGTGGGCATGGTGAGTAGAGCACTTTACATATACATTTTTTGATTGTATGTTGTTTCACGTCCCTCTTGAGAATTTTTCACTCATATGGAGACGCCACCACTTGCCGGTAGAGAGCTGCAAATTTTGTCCTATGCTCGGCACTTACGGCCATTGAGCAGTGAGGGATCTTTTTCGTGCCAGCACCTACTGCGACACGGGACCTCAGTATATATGGTCTCATCCGAAGGACCGGAACATGTACATTTAAAAAAGGTGGGTAGTCAAGGCCATTTTTAGACTATTTGAATCTCCTTGAAAAGAAGAACTCTTTATAAAAGATTGGAAACTGCAATAAATATTACAGCAGGAAAATGTTTTTTTTTTTTCTTTATTAAATAATAATTTATGGCTAAAAAAAAAAAATCATATTTCATATTAAGGTGGATCTGTTTGGGTAAATTCTTGACCACTCGGTCTCTTTAAGCTGGATGTAAAGCAAGCAGAAGTTGAAGTTATTTGTACCAGATTATTTATATTTTTTTATTCTTGAGAGAAATTCAGTAATTTCAAACTTACTGTGAGTTTCACTGTTTTGGATAATAATACTCCAGCATGGTAGAGGTTCACAGGGAGATACTTTTGACCTGGCGCTGTGTAACGAGGTATATAAGGAGCGTAGGGATGTTAACTGAGGCTCTTACTTGTAGGAGTAGGATAATGCATGCTTTTTTGGAACTGTAATTTACTAACAATGATTTTGGCATTCCGGAGGATTACCTTATATACAGATTTAACTCTACTCTGTATGCCATGATATATTATTAGTTAACTGTAGATATGTTTGAGACATTGATTTTGGTGTTTTATTACTTAGTACTTAAGCTATAGTTCTGTTTTACATGTTAACATAAGTCAGTTTATTACAGAGATTCCTAGATGAGGCAGAGAAGGACAAGGAGCGCTATAATCGTGAGATGGAGGCTTATCAGAAAACAGAGGCCTACAAACTGTTCAAATCCCAGAAAGAAAAGAAAATGAGAGGTAGGTGTGAACAAAGACAATCCTTTACTTGGATGATACAAAATATCCTGGTGTATCCCTGATCCTCCCTGTCTACTCCTAACAATCCTTTACTTGGATTCTACAAAATATCCTGCAATATCTGATACCCCCTGAAAACCCAAGCCTTATCCCTGCAGACATCCTTAAGGCTAGCCCTGTTTAATTCTGCATCCCAGACATTTTAATTAGCAATGTGAATGTAAGTGAAGGCATTTAATTGAAAATAGGATGTAAAATATTTATGATATTGCAATAATAATGTATAACATGGGACTGCAGAAAAACCTTTACTTGTTCTCTTATAGTTCATTTCAGATTATAAAATATAATTCATAGGATCCAAACTTAGTCAGATTTATACAGTAAAACTTGTCTAATCCGGCGACCAGTGGTTCCAAACATTTTGGCCGGATTAGACAACATCCGGACTGGAGAAAATGAAACCGTTATAGCAAGTTAAAAATTACATAGATATGAACAAAGAGTGGAAATACACTCTTTCACTTGCAAAAATCTCTATTTCGTTTTTTTTTTTTTTTTTTTAACTGTTCTTCAGAATTTTCATTTCTGTTTAATATTTTTATTCAGTATCGAAATATAATATCTCTTGGTCATTTATCAAATTTGAAAATCACTAAATGTTTTAAACACACTCCAAAACCTCATCGTAGCTGTAAATATTATTTTGTTAGGGACAGATTCCTAATTAATTTCTTTCTTTTAAAATTAATATGTTTGAATATTTAGATACTGTATTTGTTAATTTCAAATGTTATAATGAATATATTGGACCTAAATCTTCTGTCGTTATGATCTTTGTAAACTAGCGACACAAAGGGGAGTAATTCGAATTGCATACAAAACAAAAGTAGAAAGGAGGTCATGAATATATGTCTCCAGGTTTTTCTACAGACATTCTACACGCAACCATCACTATCACTCGTTCTTATGCGAGTTTCCTCGCCTTACTTTTTATCATGTTTGTTAAAATCTAAACTGACAGTACAGGATAGATCATTACGGGACAATAATTACCCCACGCGAGACTTCTCTAATGACCAGCGGGCACAGGTAAAAATAAGTGGCCGGATTAGAGGAGATAATTTGTACTAATTATGAGCAGTTAGTTCTTTAAATAGCAGCCGGTTTACAGAATAGTCAAGATCCGGATTGAACAACATTTATTAAACATAAATTATAAAAAAAATTCAAGGGACTGAAATATTACTCCAGACTGAACAACATGCTGGAATGCACAACATCCGGATTCAACAAGTTTTACTGTACTTTACATTCCTCATTGTTTGAGCAAAATAAACTGAATAGATTATAATTCTGATAATGTTCATTTTTTAATAGTAACATCATATATGCAAGTCTGTTCCAGACAGAGCTTACATTTACAAGAATTTCATAAAGAATTTCATAAATTTTCATAAAGAACCTGCTCCAAAAACTTAAACCTCACATACCTAGGCCAATATCAACAACCAGAGTACAACATTTGTGTTAATTTTGTCTTAATGAGCTAAAATTATCAAATAACTGATGCTTCAAAAATACAGTATTTCTTTCTGCATTTTCATCTTTTGCCGAAAGTTATGTTTACAATGATGCATACGTTTCTGGGATATAAAATTTCTTGATGTATGTTGAAATATATGTGATTATTCTTACAATTTTCTTTGATGAATTTCTTGACTCAGCAGTTTTAATGAATTAGATCAACAGATGAAAAACAAAAACAGAACAGGTGTGCCAATTTTTATTGTATTACAATAATTATTCTATTTTTGTGATCTCAGAAATGGAAGCCCAAGGCAGTTCATTAGAGGTAGAATGATTTTACTATTTGGTTAAAGAAGAAAATTTTGCATTAACAAAAATACATGTTGCTTGAACATTAATCATTTAAGAACATATTTTAAGCCCTATTTTTCCTGCTTAGAATATTAATATCCTTTAATTTTGTACAAACTTTTAAACAAATTCTTTTCAAATGTTATGTGTTCTTAACTTGCTATTCATTCATAGTGATATGTCAACATTAAAGAGTGGATGTAACTAAAAACACCATTTTTCAGGATTGAATTTGTTTTTCTAGTTAATGGGAGAAAGGGATGAAGATGACAAGGGGGCTTTTGATATCCCTATCTTCACTGAGGAATTTCTAGACCACAATAAAGGTAGGGCTCTTTCTGTTTGGTTAACATATGCCCAGAATATAAGTTGTTCCTGGACAGAAAAGCAGAGTTGCTGTTACTTTGTATTTACCTCTTCTTGGCCAAATATGTATAGTCACTCAGGAAATGGTTGCAAGAGAGTTTGTCAACATAAAAAAAAGTCCCTCTGACCTACATTTTGAATTTTGCAACTATTTATTTTAGGATCTTTTTAGCTATTAAATATTTTGGAAGTCATAAAGGTTGAAGTCTTCAGACCTTGTATGTACAATCACTTTAATTATAATTTACATTTGCCAATGGGCTAAAATTCCATGTCCAAAACATTGAATATCTTTGATTACAGATTTTTAAACATTGAATATCTTTGATTACAGATTTTTTAAAAAAAATTATTTTATTTGATCCAAATGTATTTTGTTATTAATTAAAACTATTAATAACGGATCAAATATTGAAGGCATACCATATATTATACTTTAAAACACAGGTTAATACAATGGAATATTGTATCACTCAGTGTTTTGTATACTCTGAAATTCGCAACCAATTTTGGCAAAAAAATAGTACCAACTTGTAAGCGTAAGTGTCAATAGCAATTTCCTCCAAAATAATCTCAAAAATTTCAAACCATTGAAGTTACTGAATAAATGAACAACTAAGTTGTAAGCATATATCATAATTTTGATGCATTTGAGGCCTTGCAAAAGGATAGCATAAAGAAGGTCACTGTGACCTAGTTATGGAATTTGATGGCAGTCATTTTCAAAATCTATGAGTCCAAGGACTATTAACCTGTGGAGTCCAGTTGCCCTCAACTATGTGGTTTGTATTTTACCAGACAAGCATTTTTAAGCCTCTAGGTCTTTTATTCAATCAGGAAAGAATGGTTTTTAGCTCACCGGAGCTGAAAGCTCAAGTGAGCTTTTCTGATCACCTGTTGTGCATTGTTTTCTTCTGTCTGTCGGTCAGAAAATTTTTTAACTTTTTAAACTTTTTTTCAAGAACCATTTGGCCAATTTTAACCAAAGTTGGTACAATGCATTCTTGGATGAAGGGGAGTTTAAATTGTTTAAATGAAGGTCACGTCCCTTAACAATGGATGATAATCAAGAAAAAACAAAAATAGGGTAGGGTTATTAAAAAATCTTCTCAAGGACCACTGACCAAAAATGGTGAAACTTGTGTGAAAGCTTCCTAAGGTAATGCAGTTTGTAAAATATTCAAATCTTGGCCCTTGGTGGTAGGGAATCAAATTTTTACAATGATATGTGTATAAAAAGGAAAAATCTTCTTCTCAAGAACAACCAAACCAGAAAAGCTTAATTTTTTGTGAAAGCTTCCTTAGGTAATGTAGATTGTAAACTGTTCAATTCATGGCCCATGGGGTGGGAAGGTGGGGGGGGGGGGGGGAATCAAAGTTTTACATTGAAACATTTAGGAAAAATCTTTAAAAATTTTCTTAAAACCACTGGGCCAGAAATGGAAAAACTTATAAGGAAGCTTCCTTAGGTAGTGTAGATTCTAAATTGTTCAAATCATGGCCCAAGGGGGTAGGATGGGGCCACAATAGGGAATCAAAGGGGAAACTTTAATGAAGAACAGCAGGGTCAAAGTGACTCAGGTGAGCATTGTGGCCAATGGGCATCTTGTTTTTTTTTTTTAGTGAGAGAAGGAGAATTGAGGCAGATGAGGAAACAGACCACAGAGTTGGAGGAACAGAACGCTATCCTGAGTAAACACATAGAGAGCATGAAACACGCCATAGAGAAACTGGAGATAGAGGCGGTACAACAACGGAGTACCAACATGGCTCTACAGGGTCACCTTGATACCCTGAGGGTGACCCTCACTAACAGCTTCAGTACTGTACCATTACCAGGTAAGTAACAATGCAGTACCAACATGGCTCTAAAAGGTCACCTTGATACCCTGAGGGTGACCCTCACTAACAGCTTCAGTGCTCTTCCATGACTAGGTAAGTAACAACACAGTACCAACATGGCTCTACAGGGTCACCTTGATACCCTGAGGGTGACCCTCACTAACAGCTTCAGTGCTCTTCCATGACTAGATAAGAAACAACACAGTAGCAACATGGCTCTACAGGGTCACCTTGATACCCTGAGGGTGACCCTCACTAACAGCTTCAGTGCTCTTCCATGACTAGGTAAGTAACAACACAGTACCAACATGGCTCTAAAAGGTCACCTTGATACCCTGAGGGTGACCCTCACTAACAGCTTCAGTGCTCTTCCATGACTAGGTAAGTGACAACACAGTACCAACATGGCTCTACAGGGTCACCTTGGTACCCCTATTATGTCAGAGGCGGCTTCTTGTTAAATTCTGTTTAGCATTTTATAATTTTATTAATAAATCAGTACTGCACATACTGTAAAAAAAATATTCATGCCACATTTTTTTGTCAATCCAATTTGGTGTCTAATATCTATCAGGATTTGTTTTATAGGAACAAATGAATGTCCTACACTAGACACAATAGATAACTACATGGCAAAACTACACAACCTGATCCTGGACTCTCCACAGGAACATGAAGGACTGATATCCATGGTGAGGGATGTCATAGGGAGGCTAAATATAGATGGGTAAGTCACATGATGTCAGCTAAATATAGATCAGTAAGTCACATGATGTCAGCTAAATATAGATGGGTAAGTCACATGTAAGTGATGTTACTAAATATAGATGGGTAAGTTACATATGAATGAGGTCAGCTAAATATAGATGGGTAAGTCACATGTGAGTGATGATAGCTAAATATAGATAGGTAAGTCAGATGTAAGTGATGTCAGCTAAATATAGATGGGTAAGTTACATGTAAGTGATGTCAGCTAAACAAAGATGGGTAAGTTACATGTATGTGATGACAGCTAAATAGATGGGTAAGTTACATTCCCATGATGTCAGCTAAATATAGATGGGTAAGTCACATGTAAGTGATGTCTGCTAAAAATTGATGGGTAAGTCACTTGCATGTTAAGTAATTTTTAAAAGTCTTTTGAAAGTCTTTTACTGCTTTTTTGAATATTGATAATCTTTTCCTCTTCTTTAGTGCCAGTTTATACATTTTCTTTCATCCTTTTTATTTTATTTTGTTCTCAACCAGTTTTACTCAATTTCAGAGACAAGATTTGATGTTAAGGTACACAACCTTAAGTAAGATGTTCACAGGGCATGCAGAGACTAGTGAAACACATTGACCAAAGACTATTCTGATGTTGAAGTAAAAAATTGTGATCAGTTATACCAACACAAACAAAACATTGGAAACATCATAATTTTGTGTTGGTCTGTCCAAAGAAATCTTTGCTAAGATCCATAGTTGTTTTCTAGATGTATATGTTAAGACAGTTATAGTATGTGTAAGCAACAATTGATTGATAATAAAATGATAATATATGAAGTTTAATATCATGATTCTGAATTCTTTTATAATGTTCATGAATGTATTATTTTTGAAAGTCAAAGCTTGAGGTGGTTAAACCAATATGAACTGATAAGATATTGTTAATGTCTTTTCCTTTCATGTTCAATGGCTTTCTGAAGTTATTTTTTAACCGAAGCTTTTGATCAATTTATAACTATATTGTAGAAGAGAAATGATTTTTTTTTCAAATTGAAAATTTCATCAACATTAAAAAAATCATATTCCTCTCTGGCATTCCCTTCCCTGTGCGGAATTGTTCCTGGTTGTTCAGTAAATTTATCAATGATATTTTTAACAGTAAATAAGATTTATTTGGCGTATAAAACTGATATTTTCACTGTGAGAAAATGTATTCAACTTGAAATGCATGTTCAGTACCATATGCAAGCAAAATGACTGATGTGATTAGAGGTTGATGTATCAATTGGGCCTTTATTTTTACTTCTTTATTCCCCTATTGGTTTCTAATATTTTTTTTTGAATCATTTGAACCTTACATGTAAGTGTTTAGCCTGTTAATAACATTACAATGGTATGTTTTAAATATTTGTTTTCGTAGTTTGTTATAAATTCTATATGCTCAGAATACTGATTCTTAACTTAAATATTTCTAGGGTTGTAGCCAAATAAAATTCCTTTCCTTACTAGTTTTGAACGAATATGTATCAACTCATCATCAGACCATTTATTTTTATGTTTAACAGGGCTTTTATTACTTTTACATGTTTTATTTTTAATGACATGATGGCTGCATAATGTTGATTCTATAGACTCTAGGTCATTGATGCTCACGGAGTTATCAAAATTGCCTTTTACTTTTTGGGATTGTAATGCTTCTATAAATTTATTAGCAGAGTATTCTCCCCACTTAAAGGATGAATGGGCCTTGTATTGTTTATTACCTATACTATTTTCTCTAATAGTAGAACCATACTGAGAAAAATATTCCTTGACAACATACAGTGGCAGTCAGATAATGTGGAAATAAAATCTGATACTTCCAAAAAAACAACAAAACATGTACTTTTTCTTCATCAGTTAAAAGATAATCAACAGCACTACTACCATGATAATTATGGCAAGTGAAAGAGAGTTCCAAATAAACACGACGGTCATGTCACCAAAACATCTTCCATTCATAATACGGAGTTGGTTTGCAATACAACAATCTACTAGTTCTATACCTCTTTTATCCATGCAAGTGTCCCTATTAACTCTGTTGAAAATATCATTATCAATTTTATATGTTTCAAATAAAGGTAAATATTGAATGTTATCATCAAATATATAGTCAACTGCGCTTTCTGTTCTAGCATTAAAATCTCCACAAGGCATTATATTTCCTAAATCTTTAAAACGAAAAATATCTTTCTGTACAAGCTCCAGAATATTAATATTTTTTGTTATTGCGGGTGGATCCCTCAAGGGGGGGGGGGGGGGGGGGTATACAGTACATATGTACAAATCTCTATCAAAATTGAAAAAAAAAGTTATCTCTTATTTGATCTACTGGTATTCACTACCTGTATTTTTAAGTGCAAGTCTCTGTAAGAATCAGGCAAAGTAGGTTTGAAAGTGAATCATGAGGGTTCTCAGAATTTGATGATTTTCAACATATAGATTTCTCTTGTGCTACAATCAATGTATGCAAAGTGAAAAAAGTTTTGGGTCATGGTTACTATGGAAACATGACAAAAGAAATTTCCTTAGCAACCAGTCAATTTTCCATGTGTATGGACAAAAAAATCACTAATCTTTAGGGCTTGAAATTTATTGTGAATATTTAATAATTTCTTCTTATTTATTCTTATCCTAAAGATAAACATTTAAAGTGTTTTCACAATGCATTACATAGAAATAAGATTTTGAGATACATCTGTACTAGACATGGGTAGATATGCATGTTTTGTGTTTTTTGCTGATTCAGCATTTTTGTTGATTTTGGTACTTTTCAAAGCCTTATTACTCAAACTTCTGGCGTAGTACAGGGGTTGCAAGTATTTCGCATAAAAGCAGAGGAATGTCTCTTTTGGACTTTAAATTCAAAAAGGTGTGTTTTTTGAAAATTCCAATCCGTTGCCTAGCAACAAAAATGGATGTTTTGATAAATAAAAATGGAAAAATCGTACAATGTGAACATTATTTATCTAATAATTTGTTATCTGAGAGTATAAAAACACAGGTTAAAGTAAGGAAATATATCTGAGACACCTTTGCAAACCAAGAAATATTGTAAAGATACTTATCTCCATGGCAACCACATATTCTCCATAGCAACAAAGCAAATAAAGTCACTTTCGGCAAATATTTATGAACAATTTTAAAATATTAATCCACAGTTTGGAATATATTGCGATTAATCAAATTTGATTTTGTAATAGATGTCTTAGCAAAGTACATTTTTATAATTTAGCCCATTTTTATACTTTTAACCCATGGTAACAACATTTGAGTACATAAGAACCACAGTATGTTAAGGAGAGTTACTAACAATTTTCTATAACAACTTGAACTTTTTTTGGCACGCAAGGTCACCGATTATCATGAAACTTTGCTCGTTATAATAGTTTGACAACAGAATTTTAAATTAAAGTCTGGTTGCTATGTGCCTTGGTTGTCATGGTAACAGACAGGTTGATTTCAACAAAATTTAGATTTTCGGCTATTTTGAATCTTTATTGACCCTTCACAAGCACTCAAAAAACCAAATTGGCCATTTATATATAAAAATAAAAACAATAAACCTTGTTGCCAATTATTATGTAAAGAAGGTATTTGGAATAGATCTCTATATAGGTGGTAACCATGGTTACACTCGGCATACATTTTATATACAGAAAAACACTCAGTATTATCTTATTATGGGAGTTACATGACTTAACTTTATCGCCAGTGATAACGAAACAATAAAAATAGTTTACCTTATGAAAAGAAGTTTTCGCAGTATTATTCTAACAATGAAAATATCGGCTGCCATGATAACACATCATTTGTGCCATAGTTATAACCCAGCAAACAAAGACGGGAGTATAAAGGAATCACTTTGTCTGTCTGTTTCTGTGTTCATTTGTCTGTGCAATCATGATGGGGTCATAATTTCGTAATGGAGAAAGATTGAAAGTTCATTCTTGATAAAACGATTGTTTATAATCTGAGCTTGAATTTTGACTTTAACGTTTCACCCAAGGTCATTTCAGCTAGTTCAAGGTCGTTGGCAGTAAATAGTGTAAAATTTGTCTGGTCTATAACTTTCTTATGGAGGCACATCGGATATTCATACTTCATACAGAGATTGTTTAAGAGGTGTAACATGTTCTTCATTCCATGTCAGATGATCAAGATCAAGGTCATTCACAGAAAAATGTATAATTCGTGTCCTGACCACATTTCGAAATATTGTAAGCTCATGCTTCACAAAAAGATTTATGCCCCATTGGTATGTTCAAACCTTAACCCAAGGTCATTCCAGTAAGATCAAGGTCACTTCAACAAAAGGTTTAAAATATGTGTCCAGGCCACATAACTTTGTAATGGAGAGCCATTTCGAAGTTCATTTTTGGCATAGATTGCATGTGAACAAAGAGTGTGTCATGGTCTTGACCAATGATAATTCTAGCAAGTGAAAATCACTGGCAGAAAAAAATGTTAAATTTGTGCCAGGTCTACGGTAATTTTCTAATGGAAAGTATTGGATGTCCATACTTCATAGAAAAATTGATTATGACCTTAAAGTATGTCATGATTTTGACGAAAGGTTATTTGATCAGATTCATGATCTATTTAAAAAATGTATACATTGTGCCCTGTCTACATCTTGATATGATTAAACACTGGAAGCCCATACCTGACACAAATATTGTTAATGACTCAGGGGTGTGTCAAGATCATTTTGGCAAGGTCAAGGCCGTTTCCAGGAAAAGTGTCAAGTTCATTTCTTGTTCACAGCTCTTTAATTGAAAAAACATTGAACGTTTGTTGCCTTGATCCAAGGTCATTCCGGCAATGTTCAATGTTACTTTAGGTTAAAAGTGTAGATATCATATCAGGACCACTACTATTCTCCTTACTAATTTGTATCAACATGTATAATTTTGGAATGTTGAATTGGGGACATTAATAGGTTGTTCCACATTACTTTGGTGAATAATCTAATTCATACTTTGCAAAAGTTGTGTCCTTTTGCGGGGTCAACCAAAAGGTCAAAAGGGAAAAAACGACTTTTTCCTACCAAATATATGGGCGTGCTCCGATGCATCAATTGTGTTTAAATTCTTTTCCTTCAATGTATGGGTAGCCTTATCCTGTGGCAATCAGTATAGAAGCAAAAATTTTTTTCTAGTCAAATGACAAAAATACAAACCAGAAAACTACAAAGCCTTCTGTGAGGGTTCTACTGGTTCTTCCTCAAAGATGGCGACCAAGGGAAATAAGTTTTGAAAGTATGGATTCAAGCGTTTGATTTATGTAATAGTAATGCGCTTTGCATGCACTATGCCTAAAAAGTAGTCAGGGTTTAATACATGGTGCACAAGCCGGAGGTGCATGCAAACCACAACACTATTGTTATTATTATGCTGACTGTTGTATAAAAGCAAAAATATTTTTTTTTCGATTTCCAACGTTTCATCACCTCTTACTAACATGCTGGTATCCCTATATATATACCCCTATTATAACGTCACGATGTGAAACAATTACGTCATAATTTTGAATGTTTCATGCAGTTAGGTATAATGTACAGAAAATTTCAAAGAACCCTAATTTAATAAAGGGATAAAAAATTTAAGAAACTATTTTTTTTTTAAATGTTTTGTTTTCTTTTAAGTGTCAAATATTTGAAACTAGGTTTATATACATTAAAATAAGTGTTTGATAATGGCGTCATGTTGGTAGCAGCACGTCGGACTGACAATCTCGTGATCGTGAGTTCGATCCCTGGCGTGGGTGATGTCAGATTTTCTTTAGAAAAAGAAGCCGTGCACTATTACGG